GATGATTGCTCTCGTCGAAGCCAACCACTCATGGCTCGAGACAATCACTTACCAAATGTGCCACATGCCTTACAAGCAGCAGGCCCAACACCTTGCCGGACCAATCGGTCTCCTCAAAATGAGCACCACCCGCGCCGCACACGAAATCGCCGACGAAGCCGTCCAGATCTGGGGAGGCCGTGGACTGACACAGACTGGCATGGGCAAACATATCGAAATGTTCCATAGAACCTATAAATTCGACTCGATTCTCGGAGGAGCGGAGGAGATTTTAGCCGATTTGGGTGTTAGACAGGCCATGAAGAACTTTCCCAAGGCTATGTTGTAAATTAAATGAGTTTTGGATAGTTTGGCGATGTTCTATCAGTTGTATCAATAGATCAATACGTTATCTACTTACTCAAAGAGGAAATTGGTTTGGCGAGACTGTGGCCCGTGCGGAAATTTTGTAGTAGGCCCGCTAATTACCAGACAGGGGATAGCTTACTCGCCTTGCAGCCAAAGAATATCCCACTTGTGCCGCGCCCCACATTGTGCCTGCTGCTTCCACCACCTAAAAGTGGGACGCGGCACGACTAGTGGGCCTGCTGGAACGCGGATGCAAGTTCGCTTGTTGCTACGGAGTACTCCGTACTTCCTCAATTGTAATGACTGACAACAAAAAGTGGAAAAGAAGTGATGCTAGTACAATCCAACTATTGTGAGTTAAGCTATAAGTGACCTGACAAGGAAGTTAACAGGGATGAAAACCGAGGCTTTTATGCTAATAATAATAATTGTTTTTGTTTTTTAATAGAAATTATTAATATATAAATAAGATAGTAATTACTCTGATCATAATAACGTATCTTTAAAGATATTTTTAAATTTAAGCTACTCTTTACACGTTCTCCTTAGATAATCACCTCCTATTAGCTCTAAGCTTCCCTGCTTTATCACACCTAGGGTACCTAGGTACCTAGGTATTTAGGGGTTGTTTTGTATTTCGTCAAGTATTGATTTACTCGTTTTCACTGGTACCAAGTGATTATGCTGTAAATACCCCTGAATGGCGGGGTCTACGCAAATTATCTTGCTGCGCGCAAAGATGGAACTCCACTTGCAGAGGTCTGGCTGACATGCTGCAATGTAAGAAGTGCGTGGACTGGTTTTGTAATAGGGCTCATTCGCATGGAGCATGTTATACATGTCACGCTTATGCGAGTGGCTTTTGTGCGAACTTACTGCAGAGAGCTGCTTTGTGCATCCTCCGCCCAACATATCAGGTTTGATCAACACAGGCCATCTTATTCTCACTATCAACTCGTCAACCTTCCGATCTGCCTTCTCTCCCACTCTCTCGTCTGTCAAAGAGATGAATGTCAGCCCACTTCAAGACACTTCAAAGCTGAGCTACTTCACTAATCCTTCTCCAAGTCTGATACTCATCGTTCCGTCAATAGCATAACCTGCCTGGGCATCTTGCGAGGTAAGACCAGCTCTTGTATGGCAGATAAGCTGGGAGAAGAGAGAAATTCCAACCTTCAGACCTCCAATGTCGATATTTCCCGTCAAGTCATCGTCCGAAATACCAAGTCCATATATGCATGTATGGTCCTTTCTCATCTTCCCTCAAGGGCAACACTGAAGGTCGAACAAGACCCGGCCCGACTAGAATCGTTTCGTGGATATCATATGATGCGAGGAGGAAAACACTTTTCATGTTTGCCTGCATTGCCATATTTCCGTGACAAACAAATGAACCCAGGAAGACAAAAGAAATGATTTTTTGGGAGCGTATAAAACCTTTGCACGAGTCAAATCAAAAACAGAGCACGAAATACGTCGTGGGTATCATGAAGCTGCCACGCCAACTTCCTCTCTGATCCACAAAGAGCTGAGAGGACCTCTGGGCCACGGTGCTTCGATACTTCGATCACCTTAGTTGGGACAGGCGGACTGGACATGTCCAGCCTGCTGGCACTTGTAGCAGATCTTCTCGCCGCCGGACGATTCCTTAGGGCAGTCACGAGAGTAATGGCCGGACTCGCCGCAGTTGTAGCATTTCATGCCGTTGACGCACTCTCCTGCAAAGCGCATTAGTAGCCTGATCGAAGGCTTTTTTTTTTTTGTAAACATTTTGCTTACGGGACATGTGACCATATCCACCGCAAGAGTAGCAGGTCTTTCCAGCACCACCGCCGCCATACCCGCCGCCGAAAGAACCACCATAAGAACCGCCAGCCTTGGAGCAATTGCGGGCAATGTGGCCGATCTCGCCGCACTGAGTTCATCAATTAAAATTTATTCACCATACGTATTTGTGATAAATGAAGAGCTTTGTCAGGCTTACCTTGTAGCACTCAGTGGACTGAGCACCGCTAGCGCCGCCAGCACCTCCAAGAGGACATTCGCGAGAAATGTGACCAGGTTGGCCACACTTGTAGCAGGACTTGTTCTCCTTCATGGGCTCAGAGCAGTCGCGGCCTATAACAGTCAGTACTTGGGGGTGATGGCAAGATGTCAGCAGTCACTTACTCATGTGACCCTCGCCTAAATTAAGTTAGTACTATTTCTCTCTCAATCATAACATCATCATGGGACGCATACCTCCGCAGTTGTAGCTATCATTGAATATTAGCGGGCGCATTTTACAAGATTTTTTCAAGCGTGCTTACCACTTAGCAGGGCCTTTGGAAGGGCAGTCGCGGGCCTGACGACATCACGTTAATTCCCATCATCTAGCACATCTGGGGTTGGTGAGGGATCATACCTGATGACCAGGGTTGCCACCTGTTTGCCTCAAAGTGTTAGCCACGTTCGTCTAAAAAATTCTACCATCATTGCTGCGACATCTCTTGAAGTGGTAATAGGCACCATAGTATGGCGGTGTCGTCCACATCAGACAAAAGTGAGCAGCCTGGCGATGCTCAACAAGATTTGAGACTCACAAGAGTAGCAGGCTCCACGAGTAGCGCCGGTATTGGAGGAGTAATCCATCTTTTCTGAAGGAAGATGAACTGGTCGGGACTTTCCGATTTATCAACTGGCACTACAGCGTCAGCGATCGCCTTCTTGCTGGCGGATATTGCAAAAAAGTCCCAAATCAAAATGGCCAAACTGTGGTGCCAAGGCGGCATGACAGAGATACCCTCGTGGCGAAACCGTTGTATCCTGCCACTATTGACCTAACGACTGGCTCAACGGCGTAAGAAATTTGCATAAACGCAGACATACCGATGGAGGGCAAAAGGGTGTGCAATTGGAGAAGACTCGTCAATTGATCGGCGATATATCGATATGCAGAGGGCAATTTTGAAGTGGTGAGGACGAAAATAGGAAAAGTTTTTGGCGTTAACGGTGGTGGTTCAGCGGGGCTCGATTTTTTTACCGTGCCAGAGAAAAGAGCAAACGGAGTACAGAAGTACTCCGGGCAGCTTGGAGCTGGGCGTTGGGTGCAGGGAGTCGGTGGCTACAGCTGGCAACTAGAGGCGGAGGGAGGCGTCGAGAAGCGAGCCCAGCCAGAGTGGACAGAGACGCCGGCGCTGCGTGATGATTGAGTGGCGTCTCGAGCCAAAGCGGGGCGAAAGCTGTCTGGTGGTTTGGACTGTCGGCTTGGGGCTTGGGGACAAGATGTGCCACCTGAGTTGCTGACAGTTCTGAGACGGTCCGCGGGATCACGCGACAGACAAAGACGTTGCAAAATTTGAGGGGGGATGAGAGCGCCGTGATCTTGAGGAAGAAATATGAAGTTCCACTTCTGGGTTGAAATCAAGATGGATGCTAGGTAGAGCCTAGGTAAGGTACTTAAGTATTAATTCAATAGAACTAAACTTGAGATGGAAGTCATGCCCTTGGCCCTTCAATACTCCATGTCAACTGGCAACAACGGCAAACACTGGGTGGCACCTGTCGAGCCCCAAATTCCAGATGTCATGAGGGCATGTGGTGGTAGTACCTGAGGGTCCTTGCCAGCCCAGGCCACATCTGTAGTGGTTCCTGGGCCCCGTCTCCACTCGATCTATGGGCTGGACCATCCGTAACACCCTTGCGGCAGCCCGAATGCGCACCCGCGTCAACCTTGGTTATTCCTTCAACTGCCTTCAACTTGCCGGCACAGCCAATTCGCCGCATCAACCACGACGGGCCGAGCGCAATTGGCACATTGGATCCGCCCTTCGTTCTGCTCAATGCACTCGATGATTTTAGCCAAATCGCCTCATGTTTCAATTCGTCGTTGACGTGAATTAGGCCTTCGTTGTCTCGTCACGTGAGTCAGTATTGAGTAGCGTGTGTACGGAGTACCTGGCGTAACTACCAGACGCGTTCTGACGGGAACAGTCCTGCGGCCAAACTTTTTATTCGCCGCAGGCTAGCGATGCCATCAAGCCATCTTTATGGCGGCTACCTGGTTTGAAAAAGGCCGCCCAGCGCTTTTTGAAGCTTTATCAAATGTGTGCGACCAAATTGGGAGGGATTTGGCTGCTGGTAAGCGACGCGAACGCGGACATGTGTCCATCGAGACTATTAGATTCTAATCCTGTTTAGAGGTGCAATCACGAAATGTAGCGAAAAGTCAAACCGAGGGATTCAGAGCTGCAGAGGAGGGATGTGCCGAAAAGCCAGACATCGTTTCGAGGTTGGAGGCTGAAAATGAAGAGCTGAGAAGGCAACTTGCCACGTTACAGCCGTCAGGCATAGCATCACGTTCAACCACCACCTGCTTGACTTCAACATTACCAGACCAAGCGCCGGTATCTACCCATCTCTCTACCAATGACCCAATTGTCCTAAAAGATACATCACGTACGACCAGTGGTACCCCGCCATGTCGAGACTGCTCCAGAGTCTTAAGGAGATACCATGCATTGTCCGCCAACTTCAAAACAGCCAAAGATGCTTTGCAGCGGAGAAAAGATGAAAGGAATCGTTGGATTCATCACTCAAAATATCTCAGGGAAAAAATAGAGGCCGCCGAAAACCAATATGGTATTCAGATTTTGGATCAGAAAGCCCAGCAAATGGAAGTGCCCACATCAACCGCGTTAGAAGCCGATGAACCAGTTCTCAACCCTTCGACCAGCTTTATGTCTGAAAGAGAGCCTGAAGAAGACGAACCTCAACTTCCAGAGCTGGCTTCAACGTCGAAACCGCCCGGCGGAGCCCTTCAAGGATGCAATGCAAATTCCGAAACGACCCAAGGGGAAGCCTCGGACGAAATTTCACAACCTCTACCAGTGATTCCATCACCTTCCAATGGTGAGATGGTGGTCATAAAGGAAGAGCAGTCTTCTGACGTTCCAGAAATTGTTTCCGAGCGAGAAGTTAGGAAGCGCAAACGCAACGAAGAACACGCTGGAACAACTGTCGTGCCCAAAATCAAACCTGAAATGGCTGGTAGTTCAAGCCCAGTAATGTTAGTCTCGCCAGTACAATTCCACACGCAAGAAAGCATTGACTTGGGGGACATTGTCAAGAAAATCCAAACGCCCAGGAAGCGCCAATTGCTAGAGCAAGCCGGACCACAGTCCGAAATCATCCCCCGCTCTAAACTTACTACTCTTACACCACCCCATGCCGGAGCCCAACAGGGGGCGCAATCCGCCATTGCTCCTCGCCAAACATCAGCTCTGATGCCCTTAAGTGTCAATGCGCGGATAATTCGACCGGCATCGGTCAAAATTCAGCAAAAAAGCCATTGGTTCCAGCTAGATGACAGCATAGAGAGCCTAGCTGAAGATGGTGCTGCGTATAATGCCCAAGCGCCTACTGATCAAGTTAAATCACCGAGCGTATCTTCTACTAAGAGTCGACTGGACGCTTTGCTCAATGACCCCCTTGCACAGTCGGAAGATGAGAATATCATTTCCAGGCTACCCAAAAGAACCGAGTCAAGGACCACAGCTCGCCACACGGATCTGGGCATCCCAGGACGACGACAGCTTCCATTTGACAGGGACGGACATATATCCAGTAAATCAACACCAGGTGAACGATCCTTGACCCTGAAAAGTGTTTCTGAGGCAAAGACGCGAGGTGGCGGTTTTGCCTCACCATGGCAGACTATAAATCGTCCGGATTCGAGGCCGTTAAGGCACAGGCCGCTCTCGAAACTTGGCTTGGAAGATTTCAAGGTCAATCCACGTGCCAATGAAGGCCACGACTTCGCCTTCAGCGAGGTAGTAAGAGATAAGGGCGACAGGACATGTTTACCAGGATGTACGGACATGCATTGCTGCGGAAAAGAGTTCAGGGCCATTGCCATTTCACAACGGCCCAACCCGCCTTTAACGGCCGCTCAGCGACAAGAGGAGCAGAAGCTCCTGGAAGACTATCTAGGGGACTTTTCATACCGCCTCGCATCGATGGATAAGGACGAACGAATGGAAGTCTGGATCGAGGCCAAGACGCACGAATTGGCACATAAATATGGCAAACATAGACATAGATTCTCTCGCATGCAGTCGCCCCCAGGCTTCTGGGATGCAGACTTTCCAGATACGCAGCAACTGGAAGCGGATAGAGAGGAAGCTGTGAAAAGAACAAGGCGAGCAGTTGCAGAGCGATACCGGGAAGCCAGACGACCCGGCGGCAGATGGATGTTCAAGGATGAATGATACATGATGATGAATGGAGCGTTCTAGGTTCCCCTCTTGGAATAAAAAATAGAGGCACATAGCATAGGGCATGGATAGGACCTGACCTGTGAGCAGGCGTTCTCTGTATCTAGGTATTGCGTGTAATGGGAAATAATCGATGCTACGATATGTCACTCATGATAGCTTGGCTACGCCTTCTACGTATAGCTGCGAAGATGTGTTTGGACAGATGAAGTGCCGATATCTCTGGTGTGACAGTGCCCTCATGACAAGACTAAGTATGCTCTTCACTTAAATGATGCCTGGCAAAATGTTTGCGTAAGTGGACATCTGATGATGCCATGTGTTGACATTGACATCACGAAGTCGGCCGTGCGGAAGCAGGGCTATATTGACATTGAAAAATCTCCTCGTCAACTGGTGCGCGATCTCAAATGCTTGCAATGGACGTGGGTGGCAGCATTCAGTGAGCGCAAGTACGCCGAGCGATGGAGCACGAGAAAACTCTCCTTTAGCTGAGAAGTTGACGACTAAAGTGGAAAAGAAAATAATACTTGGGCGCCTCCAAACGCTGTCTCTTCATTATGTCACTTGTGAGCTGATGAGCCTTGCTCTTTCGCATTTATAATCTAGCCCGTGTAAGTTTAGCCACCAGTGACCTCCCGCCTGACTGCTCGTTCCGCATGCCTGGGCATAAAAACTTCTCTTCGGGGAAGCCCCACACTCACCAACTCCGAACCGAGACAGCCTAGGTACCCTCACGAAACCTGCGAATTTGATCCCGAACCGACGAAAGCCCCGCGCTGCGCAGTCTAGCCTGTCGCAATACCGCGCTTGGATTAACTCAGTCGTCCTTGGTTTTTCCCCTTCTACATGGACCGTCTCCTTCCCCCTCTTCACCATGAATTCCGCAGCTAGACTCCTCTCTTCCCCCCTTCCCCTTCGCCGTGTGCCCATTGCCTCTGTTCGCGCTTCCTCATCCCGATTTGCACCTTCTTTCGGCGCCGTCCGCACCTTTTCAGTCTCAGCACGCAACATGGCTGCCGCACGGAAGATCAAGGTTAAGAATCCGGTCGTGGAACTCGACGGTGATGAGATGACTCGTATTATCTGGCAGACTATCAAGGACAAGTTCATCTATCCTTACCTTGATATCGATCTGAAGTACTACGATCTGGGTCTCGAGTATCGCGATAAGACCAACGACCAGGTCACCATTGACGCTGCCGAGGCTATTAAGAAGTACTCTGTCGGTGTCAAGTGCGCTACTATTACACCTGATGAGGCTCGCGTTGAGGAATTCAAGCTGAAGCAAAGTAAGTAATCTCGTTGTTGGTACTGAATACTGCGGCACACGTTTAATAGCAATCCACTGACCCCGACACTCTTTTGCAAATAGTGTGGCTGTCACCAAACGGCACAATTCGAAATGCTCTGGGCGGCACTGTCTTCCGTGAGCCCATCGTCATTCCTCGTATCCCTCGTCTGGTCCCCGGCTGGGAAAAGCCCATCATTATTGGTCGCCATGCCTTTGGTGACCAATACCGCGCCAAGGACCTCGTTGCTCCCGGACCAGGCAAGCTGTCCATGGTTTACACCCCTGAAGGCGGCGAGCCTCAGGAGGTCGAGGTCTTCCAGTTCAAGAACGGCGGCGGCGTTGCCCAGGCGCAGTACAACACCGACGAATCCATTACTGGCTTTGCTCATGCCTCCTTCAAGCTCGCTCTTGACAAGGGCCTGCCCCTCTACATGAGTACCAAGAACACCATTCTGAAGAAGTACGATGGTCGCTTCAAGGACATCTTCCAGGAGCTCTACGACACCCAGTACAAGAAGGACTTTGAGGCCAAGAAGATCTGGTACGAACACCGTCTCATTGACGACATGGTTGCCCAAATGATTAAGAGCAAGGGCGGTTACATCATGGCTCTCAAGAGTAGGTCTTCGCTAGCAAACCAGCACTAAAAAAACCAAAAAAAAAAAAAAAAAAAAAAAAAAAAAAAAAAAAAAAAAAAAAAAAAAAAAAAAAAAAAAAAAAAAAAAAAAAAAAAAAAAAAAAAAAAAGAAACTAACCATTGATAATCCAGATTACGACGGTGATGTCCAGTCCGACATTGTCGCCCAGGGCTTCGGTTCCCTCGGCCTCATGACCTCGGTCCTCATCACCCCCGACGGCAAGACGTTCGAGTCCGAGGCCGCCCACGGCACCGTCACCCGCCACTACCGTGAGCACCAGAAGGGCAAGGAGACCTCCACCAACCCCATTGCCTCCATCTTTGCCTGGACCCGCGGCCTCACCCAGCGCGGCAAGCTCGACAATACCCCGGAGCTGGTGGCCTTTGCCGAGAGCCTCGAGCAGGCTTGCATCGACACTGTCGATAAAGATGGCGTCATGACCAAGGATTTGGCCCTAGCCTGCGGCAAAAACGAGCGCTCCGACTACGTCACTACCAACGAGTACCTGAATGCCGTTGAGCGCCGCATGAAGACCATCCTCAAGGAGAAGCTGTAAATAGTGGGCTCAAGATGCAAATACAATAAAGTGGGAGAAGGGAAATGAGAGCATTCAAACGCGGAGTAGCGGCGGAATAAATACCCTGCGCCCCCGTCATGTAAGGCGCGTTTACAAGTATTTCATACTTTGCATTGCCAACGCAGTCCAGGGCTGTGGCAACATATATAGCATTCAGGTAGAACTGGCACATGTCACCGGAGTAACGACGGTTGTCTGATCTAGCAGCATGTAGATACAATATATAGCAATCATGATCAAATTATGCGACGAAGCTTTCCTGCCCCTAGCTTGTACGTCTCGGTATATGGGTTACTTACTACACATTGAGGCCTTTCATTCCATATCCAGGTAATCGTGCACACGCAAGGGGACAACGCGAATCCTTTGATATGTCTAGTATACAGTTACGACATAAGCGTGAACACCAAGCTTCCCCTCCCCATCCCAAGAAGCCCATAGTCCTCAAAAACGGATTTCCCTCCCATTGAGCCCTCACGTAATACCCTTACAATAGACCAAACGCCATATATTCTGTCACACTCAACGCCCTCAATCCCAGACCTAGAAGCCAGTCTAATCATCCCTCGGAGCAGTTTCTTTCTTGGACTTTCGAACAGCTGGTGTACCATCCATGTCACTCTTTCTCTTCTTCTTGACTGGACGGCCACCGGACCCGCCGGGTCTATAACCAGGGTCTTCGTCTCTCTTGCGCTTGCCTCTGCCCACGGGCGTGCCAAAATCAGCATCCTCGTCCATGCTAGCGTCCCATTCGCCGCGATCGCGATCGCGCTCTCGCTCCCGATCGGCCATTCTTGAGGCGAGGCTGCCTCGTTTACCACGGCCGCGGCCGCCACCACGTTCGCCTCGGGACCCACGCGTCTTGCGACCACCTGTATGGTGGCCTGTTTGGCCCTCGTCATCGCCATCGTGAGCCTCTCCGTCCTGGAGGAAGATCTTGGGCGCGTGTTTGCGCAACCAGTTGGTTACGCTGGTGGGGTTTTTCAGGTGAGCGTGTTGAATTGGGTTGGTGCTCGGATGGGCGCGAGGAGCGAGCGTGGGTATATGTGTCTCCGGGTCTATTGAGCTGTCGATATCGTGGATGTAGTTATCAATGTCGTCGGCGGACAGGAAGCTAGGCGGGAAGGGTTCGCCCTCGGGAGCGACCAGGTCACTGATGTAGGAGCGCTTGGAGTCCTTGGCCGAGGCATATGATGAGTGAGGAACCTCTTCGAGGAGCTGCTGGAGTTTCTTGACGGTGAGCTCCTTTTGGGGCGCGTGCTTGCTGTCAATGGGGAGGACGATTTTGGCACCTGGGGAGGGCTTCAGGGACACGTCTATTCGTTTGTCGAGGGGAATTTGCGGCGAGTTATTGACATCGAGGAGGAGATCTAGCAGACGGCTGCATAGTGAGTTAGCATGGTCCATCATCCGGTGTTTAATGCACCGGGGTGGAGGTTGAGGGGATGAAAAAAAAAAGACAAAGTGAAGAAGGCATTCATACTCATTCTCAACAGCTAATCTTTTGACTGTAGCAGAAGCTTTATCCTCCTTCTTGTGTAAATCCTCGCCTTCTTGCATCTTTTGATCGAAAACAATGCGCATCTTGCGGTACTTCTTCTTCCAAGACTTGTATCCGCTCTTGCGGTGGTCCGCCGACTCCTCCGCCTTGACGGGAGATCCGTCCATGGTCTCTGCAAATCGATCAAATGACGAATTGAAGCGAACCTAGTTGTCTAGTGTCCCCGAAAACGTATCAATTCAATCGTGCCAGGACTATTGCAAGGCTCGTTCGTTCTTGCGGCTGCGTGACGCGCGGATGGGTGTGGTGCTGAGGCGGAACAAAGCAGAGTGTCGTGGAACGGATGAATGAGGCTGACGATACTTGCGACCGATTAAAATTTGATTACAAGAGCCACGAGCATCCGCTTTCGAGTGCGTTGCAGATGGGTTTTGTGATGGGATATGATGGACGGGAAGGGAATGGAAGAGGAAAGGCAAAAGGTTGACAGAGGTGGTCGAGGCATGGCGTGAGGAAAACAGCGTGTGGTGCTGCAGCTGCTCCTGGCAGTGCGTGTTGACTTCGGGCGCCTCCAATGCGCCCGCATCGCGGCCCCTTGGTTGGTCCACGCCCGGTGTGAGCCACTGCTGCGGCAACAGTCAACCTCTGGGTATTTGCAGCACCTGACTGGCCATTTCCATTCACTCTCTGGTAAAGCATCAATTAATTGCTGTTATGTTGCCATCGAGATGGAATTCTATCCTGAATCGATTCCTACGCGTGAATTTTGTGTGCATTGAACAGGAAAGGGGGCACACATCTTCAACTCTGTTTCTCTTTCTTTAAAATGGCCTTCGTACACATATACATCAGAACTACCATTTGATATTATGTCGATGCTCTTGGGCTCTCGTTTCGCTTCTATCCATCATATTTGAATCATAGTTATGATGCAACCTCACGGCCCAGCCTCTCCAACTCATCCTTGATAAATGCACCGGCATTCAGCAATTCCGTGCTGCCATACACAACTCGCTTCTTACCCCGGTCCTTGGTTCGCGTCACCCATTCCTGCAAATTACCGTACTCGTCAATGCTACCGCCTCCCACGGTGAATACCACTGCCTCTGTGAAACCTTGCCTTCGCTGTCCAAATGTTGCCGATTGCCCTTGGCCTGCTGCACCGGGCATGCCACCCGGCGCGTTGGCTGCAGCACCTGAACGCACTGCGCTCGGCGGTGGCATGGTCCCCCGAGCATTGGCTGAGCGGGGATCAAAGTACAAGTAGTTTTCCGTCTTTGCCATAGCAGATGATGACGCGCTGGATGGGTCCATGATAGATTCGACAATCTTGGTCACTGTGAGATCTCGGTCGGCTGGCAGGAAGTTCTTGACGCCTGATATTAGCGACTCAAAATTGGAGGACAACCCGGAAGGAACTCCGGTTTCCTTGAGTCTGTCTGCAAGGCGAGTAGAAATAGAAGAGAAACGGCCAAACAGATCAGACGACGGTGCTTGTTGGTTGGAGTTGTCTATCGTCGTTAGTTGGGTCATCTTAGTGGTTGCACGAACCCTACGTGGCATGTTAGTAGTCAATGTGTAACTGGTTCTAGCGGCGGTACGTACTGTCGAACATAGGGGAGACAAGATATGTCTGCCCCAGCCGTTTCAAGAGCCTTACAAAGGCTTTGAAAGTCTGCTCGATTAACCTCTTGTTCCGTGCTCAAGAACCAAATGATAAACAGTCGGAGCTTATCAGCAGGCTCTTTGCCCTTGTTGTCGTCGTTGATAATTTCCAGTATTTGAGCTTTGGTTTGCTTCATTATTGTTTCTTCAAGCTGGAAGTAATTGTCCAACTGTCGTTCTTTGATGCCAGATAACAATGCGGCTAAAATGTTCATGTGCATGTCAAGAATGCCTTTTCGCTCTCTCATCTCAGGAAGCAGCGTTATTGCAGCCTTGAGGTGTTGAGCGCTTGCACTAGTATCATTTTGAAGATCTTCCAAATCCGAAACTCCAGTCTTCCTGGTGATGGCCGCAGTGTCTTCTTTATATTTGGTCAGTTCGGCGTCAATGTCTTCTGCAACCTGAGGGAATGGGACTCCGGCATTCTTGGCCCAGAAAAAGTCATTGGCACCCAAGTCATACCCCTTCTTTGTGGTTCCTTTTGAGGGGTTGTTCTCGTCTACAGGTGCCTCGATGGTGATTCTGTTTAATTTCATATTGAGCACGTCGTGGACGAGAGATTGATAAGTCCACGAATGTGACAGCATAGGTGTCAAGTCAACGTTTCGATCAAGCAAAATCAAGACCGGTCGCGAGCTTGGCGTACCGGCCACGGCTGGCCTTGTGCTGGAGAATAGGTTATCTTTTGAATTAAGAATATGATCTCGAAGCTTGCGATCGAGGCGAGCAGCCACCATTTCAGCAGCTGCACCCTTGGGGCATCGAATAATGGGAATAGCACCTAGTTATGGCTGTTAGCAAGATTCCCTCACTATTGCCTCCATTGGATACCATACCCATAGTCACAACAACGCTAAAAAGTCCGCTCACGACCTTGTCCACCACGGCCTCGAGCTCCTCATCGCTTGTCTTTGCGCTGTTCAAGGCCCAGTACGTGTGTGCATTTTGCATACCGAGACTGAAGAGGTCTGGCTCCGTGACTATAAAGTTGAGATACTGATCAAACAACTGGGCAATCTTTTCGGATGTGCCAGCCATTGCTGTTTGTGTTGCGAAATCCTCCAGCAACACTCGAGGCAGTGAGGATAGGAAGTTGATGTAAGCGGGAGAGTAAAGTCCCTTTTGGAGATCACTTGTAATTCCTTGAATATTCTGGGAGTTCGGTTCGACGAGATAGATAACGGGGACATCGGGAATGGGGTGCCGTGAAGCTCCAATGTGCCTAGAGTTTTTGTGTCAGTTGCGCCCGCCCAGCTCAACAAATGCCACACATACATGTGCATGGTAATGCCCATAGACCGCAAATCGCTCACACGCATGACACTGCTAATGACATCTCGGCCGAGATCATCAAAGACAAGCACCTTCCATATAGGATTGCCATCGGCGTCGAGTATGGGAGCAACAGGCGCATGAAGGGCACTGGCATGTTCAGTTGCCTCGTTTGATTCGACCGTTTCGTTAAGGTTGAGGATTTTTTTGAGTGACGCTGCGAATAGAGCCTTTCTTAGTAGTGATAAAGGAGAGACAACTAGTATATCATATACCTATTTGACGATCTCGTAACGAATTGCTTTTGGAAGCCATTCTTGCGTATTGGCTGTCAAGCACTGGAGGAGAGTCAAGGAGGTGGGGTTTTGCGGACGGCGGTTACGGCTGCTCCAAAGCCGGAGGAGATATGATGGCTGAAGGAAGACCAATGGGGAGTTTCAATTGTAGTGAAGAGGTAGTGTTTCAAGCCAGGGACGCTACGCCTTTGGCGGTGTTGGTGTTGTGAACAGCCTAGCCAAGATATCGTCGTTGGAGCCGGCGC